AATATGGGCGGAGGATACAAGGTGCCCAAGGCTCACAAAATTGGGACAAAATGCACTACACATGCGCATGGGACAAGGGTGATGGGGTTTGGGCTGACAAGCACGAACTTGGAGGAGAATCCTGGTGCTTTGGCAGGTTTTGGTCAGCTCTGGACGTTCCCAAGGGTGTGGCACCACTAAGGGACAAGGCCAAGCATTAAACAATGCCTCCACTCAAGCCCACTACCAATAAAAAAATGCTAATAGCCATGTGATTGCCCTTAATCCTTTCTTAGGGATAATTAAGCTGAATTAATTCCTAATTAACCCCTTAATATTCGCATGAGGTTGGGCCCTGGAGAAGTGGGCCGAAAAACTCCACATTGAGCTCGAGAAGTGGGCTGGTGCGCTGTCAGCGCTGGGCCTGGGCGCTGCTGGGCCCTGGGCGCGACCTGGGCGCGAGCTAGGCGCGGGCTGGGCGCGGGAACTGCTGGCCCGGGCTGCGCGCGAGAAAAACACTTGGGCCGATTATGCCACATGCTTAGGGCTGGAAAAAGAGTTCTCCACACTTAGGAAAATTCCAAAGGTGTTTTGGCCATGACTTGGGCCACCATACTTGACTCGCGCGGGGCTAGGGTGCGGGTACTAGGGCGCGACTCATGGTCCGGCTTGGAATGCACTTGAACCGAGGCTAACCTTGGCTAGGGCTGAAAAATGGCCACACTTAGGTGCCACCAGACTTAAGAAAATCCCCTTAATACTTGGTCATGACTAGGTGCGGACTCGGCACGACTTCGGCCCGAACTCGCGAACCCTAGGCGCGAGTGATCTCGGGGCCACGCACGAACTAGGTGCGGTATACTAGACCGAGGGAATAACATCCAAGGCTTGACAAACATGATCTCATACTTAGAAAATATTCTAAGTAAGGCTATGAGCATGGCTAGGGCTCGAACAAGACTCGAGACAACTAGGGCTCGAGAATTGGCTAGGCGCGAACTAGGCGCGATACTCGTGTCCGAACGACTCGGTTCTGGACACGGCTTAACTTGGACGATTTATAGAACATACTCGGTTTTGATTATTCGTCAACTGAAATAACTAATTCCGACTGAATAAAATCCATTACTAAAATAAATGGACCGGAATTAATAACTGAGATTGAATAGCTGATAACTGGGCTCGGAACTCAAGACGAGCAGTATTAATAAAAAGAAATAGTTCAACTGGGAACTAAAAACTTTCATTTTTATTAATACAGAGCTGGGCTATTACACGACGGCTTTGAGTCGATCATCTTGAAGTCAAGAAACTTGCCAACGACGAATTTCTTCGCCCCGGCATCCTCAGTCTTGTACTTCTTCTCCAAAGCAGCCCAAAGCTCTTTGGCAGATCCAACCGAGCTGTACACATTGTACAACTCATTACTAAGTCCGTTAAGGACATAGTTACGGCAAAGGTAATCACCTTGCCGCCAAGCCTCGTACGCAGCGCGTAGTTCAGAATTGGTCTCATTTTCAGCAATAACTGGAGGGTCGTCCTTAAGGTATTTTACCAAACCCAAAGTGGTCTGGTAAAAATGCATCTTTTGTTGCCAGTTTTTGAAATCAAGCCCGTTGAATTTTTCGGGCTTCTCAGCAGTAGGGACATGGACAGCAGGTACATGATTGATCGGATGCTGAGTATTGGAACCATTTCCAGTGGAAGCCATCAGTCCAGTAGGTTGAGTTATTCTTCTTGCGATTGTTGAAATTCAGGTATAAAAATTACCCGGGAATTCTACGAACTGATATATATTTTTCAGTTCTTACAAATAATCTAAAATAGAAAATTACAATTGAACGGAAAAATTAAATTACAACTGAAAATAAATTAAAACTTAAAAACAAAACGGAAACATTAAAGCTGAGGCGAGTAAACTCTTTCCGCAAGAAGAATACGCCCCGTGTGTTGCTAACGGTTCAGGCGTAACTTTCCTAAAGATACAACGGCAAATATCTCTAAATCTGTAGCACACCAGATTTACGAGCTCCGGCGAACTGGAACGGAGTCGAGAATTGAGCAGTAAAAAATAAGAATAAAAATATCTCTCTTTTGTTATTTTGATAACAAATAAATATTTCTATATTCTTTTCTGATATTTTTATCCCTCTATTTTTTTATTTTTCTCCCTATTTCTTCTCTTCTTTTCTGCTAACTTCTTTTGTGTATTTTTTTCTCTTCCTCCAACTCCCTCTATTTATAGGTGCAATTGAACTCATAAAATCAATTAACACCAGTCCAATCAAACTCATAAATGAGTTAACACCCAAACACCTCATTATATTAATTGGTTGGCCACATGACTAAACCACCTCATTAATTGAATTGATTGGGTATTGTTTGCCATCTGCCACAAATAATACACCCATCCACCTTCCATATTTAATACACACACAATAATTACAACAGTCGCCGGAAACAATGGCGGAGAAGAAACAGGCAATGGGATTTCTCCTTTTAAAAAAAAAACTAGGAGGTTCTGCGATTGAATGAGGGAAGATGGCTCTCGATCTGAGAAGATATGCGTGAGAGAGGGGAGAAGTGAGAAGAATCTCACGACCAAATCGGAACAAAAAATCCAACGGTGCTGATAAGGGAGGACTCAGTCGTTGCGCGGAGGAGATAAAAGAGAGAGGGCCGCTGAATTACTCTATGGGCCAAGTTATAATATAAGTATTTGGGCCAAATATAGTTAACTGATATGGGCCTACTAAAGGACTCTACAATTAGACTGGTTTTAAAAACTAGGAAGGGCCAAAATCATTAAGGCGAATTTACACATTTCTTATGTGATATAAAATTAATTGCAAAGGTACGCGTAAGGGAAAAATATTAGCATTTGAATGAAATCGGTGGAAATTAATTATCTTCATGCCAGATTTGAACCAAAACAAAACAGATTCAGTTCCCTTTTTGGCGTAACTAATGTTCATAAAAACAAAAAAAAATTAAATATGGCAACAACTAATACACTCAAAATATCGCATTACAAATTAACGTGATTTTTAAATGGAATCATATTTCAATTTGTAAAATTCAAAAGCAATCGGAGAGTGCATCGATCAAAAAATACATTCTTCTGGGATTAAGAACAAAGGTAGATTACAAAGGTAGTATATTTGCAGTATATTTTACAGAAGATATAT